CCTAGGAGGCAGAGGTTGCAGTGAGCTGAGATCATGCTACTGCACTCCAGCCTGGGTCACAAGAGTGAAACTCAAAAAAAAAAAAAAAAAAAAAAGGTAGTCCACCCAACTGATGTGTGTCTGTAGCATGCAACATCCAAAGGTGGATGTAAGTGACAATGCTTGGGTGCCAGATATCACTGCTTATATCCACTTCATTTGATGAACCCTATGTAAGCCAATCCTTTCAGTGGAAACACTGATATTTAAAGTACCTGTGAGTTCTGATAATTAATTCCAAATGCTTCGTATAGAGTCAAGGAAATGGAAAAGCCACATCAAACAAAACTGGCTTATTCTTTGGGAAAGACTATGGAATCAAAGTCAAAAATAACACTAATGCCAGATTGTTATAGGACTGTGAGACCAAGCTACTCTAGGTGATGTCTTGGCCAGATGGACAAACTTTATGAAACAACAGAAGGCAAACCAGGAGCACATGGAATGTGATTTTTCAGCATTAAAATCAAAACTATAATGAATCAGAGTAGAGACACATTCACATGGGCTAAGCAGGATATTTATGAACTGTATAGCTCATCCCTAGCTGCAGAAGCTGCCCAAATGGCTAGCTGCAGGCAAGATGAAGGAAGCATTCCGGGGGCACACAGAGGGCAAGCTGCAAGCGACTTGGAGGTACTGCTCATGCTGGTATTGCACCCCCCGACTCTGGGAGTGTGGTGTGGATCTCAGAGAAAATGAGGCTCACTTGGAGCATAAACTGAAAACATTTCTTGCACAAGCCCAGATGTAGGTGGCTGTTATGAAGTCTGTTTAACTAGAGGGATTACAAATAGCAAATTGCCAATAAAGAGTTGGCTTTTCTGAGTTTGAGGGGAATCTTAGTGATTAGCATCAACTCTGAGAAGTAAAGCATCTTAGAATCCCCTAAACACAATTCTTCAAAAAAAAATTTTAAATCTAATATTTGGTACATAAAAACATATATCTCTTCCACATACATGCAGATTATAAAACACAATACAATGAACACTTACTAACCTAAGTGTTATGTCCAATTTAAGAACTAGAACACTACCAATTGCGTCCACCTTTGGGCTGCCTTCTCGCCCTCCTTCCCTCAACTTCCTACCAGTAACCACTATCCTGAATTTTCTATTTGTCATTTCCTTGCTTTTTATTACTTTATGGATTTTTTAGAAACATATTGTTTTGCTGTGTTTGAGTTTTATACAAATGGCATCGTTATATCTGTAGTCTCCTGGGACTTGCTTTTTTCCATCTTATTATTTTTTGCTCAACATTATGTTTCCAAGCTTCATCCATAGCTTTGTGAGGAGCTGCAGTTCATTCATTTTCATTGCTGTATAATAACCCGTTGTGTGAATAGACCCCAAATGCCACTGATTTACATCATCTCCATCTGTTGATGTTGTCAGGCTTGTGAAGTTTTGCCAACCTAGTGGTATAAAATGATAGCTCACTGAAGTCTTAAATTGCATTTCCTTGTTTCTAATGAGGCTTAACATCTTTACCTATGCTTATTTGCCATTTGCTTTTCTTTTTCTGTGCAATGCTTGTTTATCCGTTTTCCTCTTGTTTTTCTGTAGGGCTGTCTTTTATTTCTTTTTTTCTTACTGATTTTGTGGAGTTCTTTTTTTTAAGTGATAGCAAGTTTATTAAGAAGGTAAAGGAATAAAAAAATGGCTACTCCATAGGCAAAGCAGCCAGGATTCTTTATGTACTAAGCAGCGTGGGTTTTTAAAAACCATTTATCAATTTGCTGATCTTTAATATGTTAGGCATAGAGCAGTTAGAACTGGGAGGACTATTTGAAATACATAGTTCATCTCTCATGTTACTGAAGAGGAAAACTGAAGTGCACAGAGGTAAAGTAACTTGCCCAGTACCACAATTTGTGTTTGCAGCATTGCTGAGGTGAGCACCTGGGCCTTCTAACCCCAGATTAAATTATTCTCCTACATGACAACCTCCTTTCATGGTTTTTCTCATTTATATTTAAAATTTTTAAAGTACCCAAGTAATAATACATGTTCATGGTAGAAAAAGAAAAAAAATAGCAAAATTAGGAAAATAAAAATCTGTTTTAATCCCACCTTCCAGGTGCAACTACTCTCTGTTGTGTATTTCCTTTCTAGATAATAACTATAACAGGTCATTATTATGAAATGCTAACTCTGTGCTAGTTATAATGGAGTGCTTCTTACAAAATGCCATTTTGTAAACACTCTCCCTGTGTGGACTCTTTAATCTTCTGCACAACCCTATGATGTAGATTATCACCATCGGTGATAGGCAGTGTGGCAGGCAGAATGATAGCCTCCCCAAAATGTCCACATTCTAATCCCAGGAACCTGGGAATGTGTTATGTTACACGGCAAAGAAGAATTAAGATAGCAGACAAAATTAAGGTTGGCAATTGGCTGATCCTGAAATAGCAAGAATATCCTAGATTACCCAGGTAGACCCGATGCAATCCGAAGGGAAGAGGGAGGCAGAAGAGGAGGCATGAGAGTGATGCGATGCGAGAATGATTCAACCAGCCTTTGCTGGTTTTGAAGATGGAGGAGGGGGCCAGAGCTAAGGAATGCAGGAAAACTTTAGAAACTGAAAAAGCAAAAAAAAAAAAAAAAAAAGGATTTCTCCTCTTGGGAATCCAGAAAGGAATGCACCCCTGCTGACACCTTGACTTTAGCCCATCATGGTAGACAGAATAATGGCCCCAAAATATCCACATTCCAATCCCTGGAATGTGTGACTGTGTTAACCTTACATGTCAAAAGGAAGTTTACAGATGTGATTAACACTCTTGACAAGGGGAGATTATCCTGGATTATCTGGGTGGGCCCAGTGTAGTCATAAGGATCTTTAAAAGTAGGAGGCAGGAGGATGAGAGTCAGAGAGAAGATGTGATGACAAAAGGAGGGGATGGCGTGCTGTGCTTTTAAGACAAAGGAAGGAGCCACAAGCCAAGGAATGCAGGTGGCCTCTAGAAAAGATAAGGAAACAGAATCTCCCCTTGAGTCTCCCAGAGTATGGCCCTGTTGACACCTTGATTTTGGCCCAGCAAAACTTATTTTGGACTGACCACCAAAACCATAAGATAATAAATGTGTGTTGTTTTAAGCCACTAAGTTTGTGGGAATTTCTTACAGCAGCAACAGGAAACTAATACACGTAGTTTACAACTAGCCAAGGCCACACAGCTGGCTAGTGGCAGAGACAGGATGTGACTTCAAGCCATTTGGCTTCAGAGCCCTATCTGTTACCATTATGACATATATATACATGCACACGTAGAGATTTAAATAGACATACATTTCAATGAATATAAACCTTCCACATTATTTTGATAGTCATTCAGCACCACCATATTAAATAGTTGTATTCCATTCAATAAATATACCACTCCCCATATTTTATATAATAAATCCCTTATTATTCAATACATAGGTTGTTTCTAATGTTTCAATATTATACTACTGGCAGTGATAAACATCTTTCTAGGAATATTAATTATTTCTTTAAGAAAAACTCTTAAAATTAGAAATGCTGGCTGGGCACGGTGGCTCACGCCTGTAATCCCAGCACTTTGGGAAGCTGAGGCGGGTGGATCACGAGGTCAAGATATTGAGACCACCCAGGCCAACCCGGTGAAACCCAGTCTCTACTAAAAATTACAAAAAATTAGCTGGGCGTGGTGGCACGCGCCTGTAGTTCCAGCTACTCGGGAGGCTGAGGCAGGAGAGCTGCCTGAACCTAGGAGGCAGAGGTTGCAGTGAGCCGAGGTTGCGCCACTGCACTCCAGCATGGCGCCTGGTGACAGAGTGAGACTCTGTCTCAAAAACAAACACAAAAAAATTAGAAATGCTAGGCCAAGTTGCCCCTAAAAAAGATTGCATTGGAATATAATTTAAAATAAAACAAAACATGCAGCTGGAGTCGGAGCATCTCTGCTTCTTTTTCTGCAACACCTTTGGTATTAAGCGATTTTTCTTATCCATGGTACACACTCAATTGTATTTTTGTTTTTGAAGGCTTTAGCTATAACACTATTTCTTCTGTAGACTCAAAGGCGTTAGAGGAAGAGGATATTTAGAGGTCATCTAGTCTAATCCTTTAAATTATACGTAAATTCCCTGAGGTCCAGAGAGGTGAACCGACTCACTAGAAGCTCTCTTTGTAGGGGTGCTTGGTGAGAACGCACCCTCCTGACTCCAAGGCCAGCTATCTTTCCATATCTGCTGCAAATGTCATGAGACGCCAGCTATCTTTCCACATCTGCTGCAAATGTCATGAGACTAGCCCCCAAGTTGGGACCATTATTAAGTTTTCCCTTCAAGTCATGTGAAAAATCTCTTGTCCTTTTAATCAGAAGCTTATTTTAGGGGCTACAGAATAACAAGCACCCATATATCCAGTATTAAAAGATAAACCCTAACCCTTTCCTGGAATGAGCCTATTTTCATTTTCTCATTGTGAAATTTGGTAGGATTGATGGCAGACAATAACTTCCCACCTCCTCTAATATTTTATTGTTAAGATCCATTCTTAGAACGGATAACTGGAGGTTTTCCATCATCACCTCGTTGCCTTTTTTCTAACTTGGTTCGTCTGTTACCCAACAGTAGTAAAGTTACCTCATCCCGGAATTTGATGTACACAATGGTATGCAAACTCTTTCCTTCTCTCCGAAGCAAACAATGAAATAGGAAAACACACTGCCATTTTCTGACTGACCTCAATCGCTGAGGGTGGACCCCGCACGCTACATCAGCAGGCTGGCTCCGTTACACTGCCCTGCGCTGTGCTCGAGCTACTGAAATATTGATTTTTACAGAGCCGGCGCACACACACTGAAAAATCAATATTCCAGTGCACACAACAGAACAGGCGGCAGAGGGGGGACCAACTCCGAGGCCCAGCAAGCACTGCCGCAGGGCCTTGGCCGAGGAGGGGGTGGGGGTCTGGAGGAGACAATGCCTGGGGAGAGGCCCCTGCAAACCCGGGAATGGTCAGATAAACAAGCAAGTGTGGAGAGGGACGAGAAAGGAGAATGGAAAGAAAGATCCTTGAGGATAAAACAGTTGGAAGGAGCAATGATTTATCTTTCCATAGGGGGAAATGGGGAGAAGGAAAGTAAATTAAGAAGAGAGGATGGGAAGAATTTTCCAGGTAAGAATCTTCCCATAAAAATGTATCTTGTGTTTTTCTGTATCACTGGGTCAGACTTAAGATGGAACCATTATAAGAACGATACAGATATTATGTTACCTGAGGGAAAAAACTAGGCCAGTTCTGAGAAATATTTATATTTTTTAAAATGCAGTCCCCTTCTTTTTCCTTGGTGACTACAGGCCGGCATCAGAGAGTCTGATTTGTAACAAGGGTTCTACCTTTGCAATGCGGTTACTTTCTTTTCCTTGGGGAGAGGGAAGGAAGGAAGACATCCTGGTCACGTGGCCATTCATCAATTTCCCTTTCTTTATAGAAAAGCATCTTCTTTGGCGTGCTTGGGGAGCCACGTTAAAATCGATTCTACGTGCCCCATGACCTCTTCTTAGGGAATTGTGAGCGCCTCTGAGTCACACCCCCACCTAGATGCAGAGAGGAGGACGTGTCCCCTGGTCCAGTCTCGGGTGCCCAGTACTCAGCAGACGTCAGGGTGGAGACGAACCGGCCTTTCCGTTAGTCCTTGTAGACGTGTTAAAACAAAATTCAGAACTGGCCTTTCTACTACTTTTAGTTAGCTCTTTGACCTCTTTTTATTTGGGGATGGGTGGTGGGCAGTTTATTAAAAGAAACGACTTTTAACCTTAGTGAATTCTCGATTTTGCTTTGTCCTAGAATTCCCTTACCGGGAATCTCGCTATTAGTTCTCAACTCCCTGCCAGGGGAGGAAACTGTCCTCCCGAGGTTTCCATTTCGCACTCTGCCCTGCAGGCAGCGCCGCCGCCTCCTCCTCCCCTGCCGGGAGAGACCAGGCCCCGGCACGGCTCGGGCCGGATTTGGAAGACGGGGCTCTCGGGAAGCGGGCATTCAGGGGCACCCTGCAAAACGCGGGTTCCTTGGCCCCAGCAGGGTGGCCGGGGACAGCGCCCGGCCCGAGGCGGAACAGGCAGCCTGGTAGAGGCGATGGGCTGGAGGGCGGGGCGGGACGTCGAGCCAGGTGGCCACCTGGAGCGCCCCGCCTTCCCAGCGCCGCCCCTGGCTGGGCTGGCCCGCCGCGCCCCCGCCCCCGCTCCCGCCCCCGTCCCCGCTCTTGCTCGCTCCCGCCGCCCCCGCCCCCGCCCCCGCCCCCAGCCCCGCGCTGCCACTCTATTTGCATAAGGAGGTGTCTCCCGGGCCCGCCCGGGGCGCACGTGACCCCGGGGGAGGCGGAGGGAACCTGCTGACTTGACACGAGCCGCTCTGCGGCTCCCCTTGGCGCGGAATAGCGAGAGCAGCCGTGACCTCCGACCCCGCCCGCCGGCAGCCAATAAGAGCGCAGGTCGTCTCCAAACCCAAAATTTCCACGTCGGCAAAAGTCAAGATGGAAGGGAGCGGAGCGGAGCGCGAGGGGGGAGCCGGCCCGGGAATGCCTGGCGGCCGGCGCTGGAGGGGCAGGCTGGGGAACCAGCGGCGGGCGCACGCGGGGCCACCCTTGAAGGCGTCCCGGCCCAGCGCGATCACCGCCTCCAGCCCCAGGAGACTCTGGGCGCCCCGCACTCCGCCAGTTGCCCGTGCACCCCGGCCCAGGGGACGCAGCCCACTGCCCCTCCGGCCTTGGCTTTTAGGGGTGGTGGGGGAATGGAACGGTGGTGAGGGGTTGGGGAACGATGGGGAAGGCACTTTCCAGACCTGTTGCACGCGCGCAACAGCTGTTCAGGTGCGGTATGTGGCGGGGAGGGGGTCTGCCAGGGCGGGGAACACAGTGGTCGCTTCTGCTGTAGGGAAAGGGGGTTGCCGGGCGAGGGAGAAGAGCGGTGTTGGGGAATGTGTGCAAGGTTTGTGCGAACGGGGTCTGCGGGAAGCACTGCCTAATGGAGCAGGGAGAATCCCAAAGAGTGGGTGGATGGAACGGAGGGGATGGGACAGCTTCGACCCGAGTTCCCAGGGCTGGGCGCGGGCGCCTGGAAGACCGGGAATAGAGTGCTGGGAATGGCTGGGGAAGGGGAGTCTCTGGGGAGGCCCCGAAATGCCGGGCTTTCTTGGGCTGTCCCATCTTCGGGGCTTTTCCCGGGCCTGTATTTGCTCCCCACCGTTTAACTCTTCCATCTCTGAAAATTCGTCCTCGTGCAGCGCCCCCGCCCCCAGCTTTCCAGATGGGAAGGTAAAAAGTTGCCACAAGTTGGATAGAGTGAGTTAGCTGCCTGCAAAAGTTTAGATAACTACCGAGGAGGTGGGGTTCGGCCACGAATGGGTTCTAATCTGAGGACGGGTAGGAAGGAAGGGGAGGGAGACTGTGCGATTCTTGCAGCCCCTTTGCTGTGACTTTGCGACCAGAATTTGTCGAATCGGGCTGTTAAAACACCATTTCTTTTGGGCATTTGCTCCTGCTGACTCTGGCAGTAACTTTCCATAATTAATGACCCGTTCCATTATCGTTCGCATCCTGAGCAAAATTGCTTTTAACGAGTTATTCTTCTTTGTCTTAGCTGGGGGGTGGGGGAGCTCACCTGCAGGAAGAAACTTCTGAGGAAGAGAGCACGTTTGGTCTTTTGAGGCAAAGTTCTGAGACACTCCGACTCTGAGTATGATAGAAGTCAGTGCACTACAGAACTTTGTCTCTAGAGGCTTTGGTCGCCGCTGCCGCGAGGGTTCCAGAGTGGCCCTGGTGGCCACGTCGCTGCGCCTTTCCCTTGGGGGAGGGGCGAGACCACAGGGGGTCCAAGTGCTGCAAGAGGAACTTGATCAACTCCTTTGAAGCCGGTGGGTTAAACCCTGTAAATGGGAATAAAATCCCCATAAATCTCTTTATCACCCTGGTGGACTCCTGACTGCAGAATTTTTTGGTTTAAAGAAGAAAAAAATTAAGCTTTGGACTTTTCAAGGTTTCTTAACAGGTACTGAAAGAGTGGCCTCACTGAGCCAGGAGAAGAGAGCTGCAGATTTATTAATGGGTGTGTTAGTTTCCAGTGCCTTGCAGGAATTTAAACTCTTTACCCTTAAAGAAGGAAATATATTTGTACAAAAGCCACAGATAATGGTCCTTTTACTCAAGTGACCTGCTGGATAAACGACAGCCTGCAGAGATTGATTTTGGAGATCTAGTCTCAATTCTGTTTCTGGCTTAGGTCCAGTTCACTTTTGTTTTTTAAAGTAAGTTTTATTAATGGAAAGAGGAACTTTTTCCAAGAAAGCATTCTGAAAGGTACTGGGGAAGGACGACGTTTATGCTTTTGGGCTGTGAAGATACTTTAGGTGGAGAGACTGCTCTCTCATCTCTAGTGAAATGGAGGTTTGGGTTGGTGAGTTCCTATCAATAGCCTGCTCTGTGTAACTGGCACCAAATTGTTGTCTTGTTCCATGGACATTGCCCTCTTTTGGTTTCATGAGCTTTTGGCCTGGCACAGGACACTTGGTGGTGGGGAAAAAAGGAAATGGTTCGTGTGCCGGTGGTGCTGACAGTCAGGTAGGGGAAGGGCCTTCTTAAATATTTTAAGGGATTCTTCAGAAGCCTTGGGGTTGCTTGTTTCTGTCTCTGGGAAGCCCTTGATAAAGAAAGTCATCATTTTTTTACTTGGGTATATTCCAGTGGTTTATCATGGGGAGAGGTATGATAATGGAGGAAGCCTCGGTGAGGGAGAAGGTATAGAGTTGCTTGATGTTAGAGCTGAATGGCAGGACCTACCGGTTGCTTTTCACAGGAATGCTGTGTCTTGATCCTAAGACAGCATGTATTCTCTTTTGTGTGGCCATTATCCATTCTCCCACTTTTCCATCAGTGACTGTTTTGCTTTTGTTCCTCAACCCTTCACCCAAAAATGGCTAAATTATCTCTGTGCAGTTAAATAAAATGATCCAAACTCAGGTACATCTTGTATTCATTTGAGATGTAAGGAATGCTTACTTGTAAAGAGGATTCTCTTTTCTGGTACTTATGTCCGTACATGTCCACAAGATAGTCTGAAGATACTGAATTCTAAGAAAACTTAAACCAACTCTAAGAGAATGGGAGGGTAAAGGGTGGAGTGGTTGACTGGGAGAGTAGTCATCCATACAAAGGAATTAGGTCAGGATCTGTCACCTCCAAAGAAAGGTAAGGTTTGGAGTCCCTGACATGATTCAGTCTGGTTTGACTTTTATGCTTACATGATTTGTGTTTCTCCTGTCTGTGACCACAATTGAGTTAAGGACTAACCAAGCAGGAGGGCTGTGGTTTAGTCTGGTGCTAAGGATGCCAGGAGTAGGAACTGGGAAAATCGGCAGTCTGGGGGTGCTTACTGTGAACCTGGCATGGTCTCATAGACTTCAGTCGTTGAGTAATCAGTGTATGGTCACCTCCCAAGCATCAGGTGTTCACTCTAGATGTTAAGAATGCAGCAGTGAACAAAATGGGCCTTAAACCGTACCCTCTTGGGGGTCTTTCTCATGCAAGAGGTAGATGATACAAATATAAAATAATCAGAAGGGTGATAAATGTATCAGGGAAGCAAGAACAGGGAACACTGGGGAGGTCATGGTGTTCTTTTAACCCAGATCGCTGGGCAAAGGAAACCATCACTAGCAACCTACTTTGCCTGGCCCTGGTACTTGTCTTTATTTTAGGTACTTTATGTGAATGAACCAAACAGGTGCAACTGAAACTAGTCATGCATTGCTTAATGACGAGGATAGATTCTGAGAAATGTGGTATTAGGCGATTTCATTGTTTTTGCAAACATCACAGAGTGAGTGTTCCTAAACCGGAATGTAGAGTCTACTGCACACTTAAGCTGTGTGCCACAGACTGGTGCTCCTGGGTCACACACCTGTGCAGCGTGGTTCTGTACTGAGTGCTGTAGGAAACTAACACAACGGTAAGGATTTATGTAACCATACAAAAGGTACAGTAAAAATACAATATAAAATATAAAAACTGGTACACCCATATGGGACACCTAGCATGAATGGAGCTTGCAGGACTAGAAGTTGCTCTGGATGAATCAGTGAGTAAGTGGTGAGTGAATGTGAAGGCCTAGGATATTACTGTACACTATTACAGGCTTTATAAACTTAGGCTACACTATATTTATTTTAAAAGTCATGCTATGACATGACAGCTATGACATCAGGCGGTAGGAAATTTTCAGCTCCATTATCATCTGATGTGATTACTGTTATCTATTTGGTCCATTGTTGACTGAAACATCCTTATGCAGAGCATGACTGTTAACACTGGTAACCTTTGACATTTTAAAGAACATTTTAATTTTTAAATACAAGGGTTGGGAAATATGGGGTGTGCTGGAAGATATTTGATGGGGGGTGCAGAGGAGCTGGGAAGCCACGGTGCTAGGTCACTGATTCCCCATTTTATATAATCTCCCACCACATCTTCCAGCAGTAAAATTCTGGGATTCTATGTAACCTTGCATTTCAAAGAGGGTTTATGCCAAAGAATCCGAGTGCTCTCAAATATTTTTTAAATAGGTGAGAGTGGGGTGCACAGCATGTTTTGCTGGGATCCCACAAGATTGCTATCATCTAGTCCACAGGTGATGTTCAGGAAGCACTTCTTCCCCTCAGCTTCTCTCTTGTTAATTGATTTAAAATTTTCTTATTCATGGGGCAGTTTATACAGGGAGATCTCATGGGACAATCACTACAGACACAGGGTCAACCTTTAATATGAAAGCAGTGGACGGGAAAAAAAAGCAAAATGCATTGTTCCCACAGCTATAGGTGATGTGTAAGGAATGAACAACACATGTTGCTTTGGTTGTGTTGGAGGAGCCAGCTGGAAGGAGGATGATGTCTCTTCTGCAGACCCCTGGCAATATTAAACATAGGTTTTGCCATTCTGATCTGCGAATTCATTAAGTGGGCACTAGGAGAACCAGCAGGGTCTCCACACAGCAAAGACACACTCCTGAAGTTACCTTTGATTTGCTTCTTAGATATTCCTCTCTCTCTTTGCCAGTTAATGGAAGAAATACAAAAAAATAACTAGTTAACTAATACTTAATTTTGGCAAAGCACTATTGTAACCATTCACATGTTAAATAATTTATTCTACGAGGTCAGTACTGTTAATATTCTTATCTTACAGATAAGCAAACTGAGGCATAAAGGGATTAATTAACTTGCCCAAGAAACACAGCTAGACAGTGGCTGAAGCAGGGTACAGACCCAGGCAGTTAGGATTAGTCTGTGATCTTAGCAGCTGTGCTGTATCAGGTATCATTTAGTTGCCTAATTGGTTATGGCACAGTACAAAGCCTGGGAGTCTAGGTTCAAAGTTAAGAACACTGAACATAATTAGGGCTTAGCTCAATGCAAATCTTTAGTCTGTCTTTAGTATGTGAGATTGGTTTCTAGGGCCTAGTGGTAGCATTACTTTGGGGATTATTTTTACTACTTTGAATCTCTTGATCACTTTTGCCACTGGACAGAATTGAATGCTGAGAATTGCAGTTGCTTTAAAAAGTGTCCTAGTTGGTGTACTACAAGAAAAACAATAGAGGCAGAAAATAAGTTGCAGTAATGCATTCTTTCAAGGAACTTGGAGTTCCTTACCATGTGTCAGCTCCTGGATGTTCCTTACCATGTGTCAGCCCCATTTCAGTATGATACACACAGCGTGCTGCAGATCAACCTGGAATATCCAGGAAGGCTTCCCAGAGGAGGTGACAGCTGGATATTGAAGGATGAGTAGGAGTTACCTGAATGAAGGGCGAAAAGGGCATTCTACTTCAAGGGAACAGCAAGTACAGACTTGTGGAAATATGCAACAGTATGATGTGTGTGGCGATTAGCAAGTCTTTATGTGTGACAGGCAGATGAGCAACAGGAAATGAAGTTAGGAGGTTGGCGGGGGGTAAACCAAGGAGGGTCTTGTGTGGCACCTGTGAAAATTTGAATGTACCCTGAAAGCCATGCGGAGCAACAAAAGCCCTTAAGCAGGAAAATGGCCTGATCATCTCTGCTTTTGTAGAAAATGTGTTCTGGCAGCAGAGGGCAGGGTGAGTGGTTGGGAGACAGGCTAGCCAGTTATGAAGCTGTTAGAGTCATGCAGAGAAGACATGTCGAGAGCCGGTGGCATGGACAGGAGGGGTGTGGGTGGGCTTAGGGTGAAAGCGGGAAGACCCACTGACCTGGGGCAAAACACAGGAACGTTCAGGGCAGTCTGTTCCTGAGGCCTTTACGTACATATTGCTGGTTAGTACTAACCCAGGGAATAAAATTGGCGCTCAGCTGCATTGTGTATGCTATTTCAAAACATCAAACTTGCTTGGCCGTAATCCCAAATTAATTCTTGAAGTGTAATATTGGAAACATCTCCTTAACTCTTTATGGCATAGTGAAAATTTCCCCCTCATTCATCAAATCTAAGATGTTAGTCATTGCCAAAGCATGCTCCAAAGGGAAGGGGGCACTGAAGACAGTTTGCTGAAAGAAGTATCACACAGGGTGTGGGCAGGGTTGAGGGAAGCCAACCAGGAAGAGGGAAGTACTCTGGTGCTGGCAGCCGTGAGAAGCTGTGACCACTCCCAGCCATCAAGGGGTGACTGGAGAGAACAGCTCCCAGGGGAAGCTGAGGCTGTAGGAGAGGGCTGCCTGACAGGAGCTAGGGCATTTGGTGGAGGAACCTAAATGCCATTGCCAACTCACAGCAAGGAGGAACCAAGGGAATGAATACCCTGATATGGTCCAAGGAGGGCAGGAGGGCAGCCTCCAGGGGTTAAGATGGTGGGGTGTGAACATGGAGGGTCAAATGGGGAATTGCCAGGGTAGGCTTTTTTTTTTTTTTTTTGGTTACACGTCACATCTATGAATACACTAAAAGAAAAAACCTATAGGAGAAATAAGTTGGCTGAAGAATTCCTAAAACAACTTCATATTCAGGGCCGTCATGCTGTATTTTTTTTTTTTCTGCATACTGTCATCTTCTGTGCCATCAAGAACACAAGCCAAGCTGCAGAGTTTTTAGAGTGTTCCACTGTTGTCTCTGCATCCAAGCCACTGACACTCTTTCAGCAAAGTTTATTGCTGGGCCTTTTCCCTCCTGCTTTTAATTGTGGTGAAATATACATATCACATAATTTACTATTTGGGCCACTTTTAAGTGTACATTCCAGTGGCATTAAGTACATTCACATCATTTGTTGTGCAACCATCATCAACATCCACCTCCAGAACTTCTTCATCATGTCAGACTGAAACTCTGTACCCATGAAACAATAACTCACTGTGAGGCTGGGGTCTCCTCGGCCTTACCAGAAGGGAGCAATGGAAGATTGTTAGTCTGAATTTGTGCAAAGGTAGAAAATGTCAGTGATACCATGCCTGCCACCTGGCTGAGAGCACTTTTAAGATGTTACTTGTTATCAGATGCATCCTAATTTCAAAGATGGATGTTAAAATGTGGAAAAAATATGTTGCTTGGAATCAACATATGATGAATCCTTTTAGAGCAGATCTCACCACCAGTGTTCCATGACTGGGTTTCACGTGGACCCCAAATTTGTTCTCCTCACCTTCAGGGAGGCCAGATAGGGCCTACTAGGGCAGTGGAAATCCTTAGGTGGAAAACCCTTGGCTTTAGGTCACACTATCCATTTACCCCAATGTGCTTTAAAATATCCTTTTCTGTGTGTCACATGATATGAAAAAGTCTAGGAAGTACAGCTCTGGAAGATCTTTATCTTAAGTCTGGCCAGATTCAGATTTCTGGAATGTGTGTGTGTGTGTGTGTGTGTGTGTGTGTGTGTGTAGAGAGAGGGAGAGAGAGAGACTCTGTCTCAGACTGGAGTGCAGTGGCACAATCTTGGCTCACTGCAACCTCTGCCTCCAGGGTTCAAGCAATTCTCCTGTCTCAGCCTCCCAAGTGGCTGGGACTACAGGTACACCACCACACCTGGCGAATTTTTGTATTTTTAGTAGAGACAGGGTTTCACCATGTTGGCCAGGCTGGTCTCCAACTCCTGGACTGAAGTGATTTGTCCACCTTGGCCTCCCAAAGTGCTGGAATTACAGGCGTGAGCCACCGTGCCTGGCTGTGGTTTTATAATTAATTCAGTATCATCTGTGTGCATTGGTAGGCAGGGGATGCTGATGGCGGGGGAGGGGGTGCTGTTCAAATAAGCTTGGACTGATGTAGCAGTAAGGCTGCCATTCTAGAGGATGGGGGATGATCCTTGCCATTGAGACCTTTTCTGCATTCATGCTATATGAAGAGGTTAAATAGAAGTGATTGTAGGGTACCCATCAGAAT